CTCTCTCTCTCTCTCTTTCTCTCTCTCTCTCTCTCTCTTTCCCTCCCTCCCTCCCTCCACTTTCTCTGAAAATTAATGAAAACATGTCCTCAGGTAAGGATTTTAAAAATTCCATAAAACATTCTGGGCTCACTGGCTGATCGCCGACCTATGGACAGTGCGCCGCACTCCCTCGTGCCCACTGTGGCCCTCTCACCTGCTACCACATGAGCTGGCCGCTGGGCAGGACCAGCTGCCCACCCAGGCTGTGCCCAGAGTGGCCACTGGGTGTGCCACATGCTGACTTCACCACAGCTCCCGATTCCCTGCTAGACCCTGAGGTTCAGCATGGTCCCAGGGACTTCCATTCAGGTAACCAGGACATCTGCCTGACTCTAACTGAGGCCCGGATGACAGAACAACGCCCACCTGGCCCCGGGCTGGCCAGGGTTCAGCTCCACACCCACCCAAAGCCCTTTCCGGTTCCAGCCTCTGACCGCCGGTCCCCTTCCCACTAATGCCTGCCTGTGCTCACCAGCCCAGCCACCGGTCCTCACAAGGCTCCCGATGCACCAGTCCTCTGCCGGCCCTGCCTGTCACCATGGAGCCATGACCCCCGACAGTGGCCCCCACGGACGCCTCTGTTTATAACCGGCTTTTCCTCCAAGGTTGTTTCCCGAACCCTCTGAAGATCCCCAAATCCCTCCTGAAATGACCCTCACACAGAGGCCACTGGGCTCTGAGCTGCCACCTTCTAAAACAGAAGTCCTCCCTCCTCCTCTCCCTTCACAGGGCAGCCAATGGCCTCCCGTCCTCTGAGACCCACTGGTCACGCACATCGTCGCCTGGTCGCCTTTTCCCTGTGCTATTCCCTCCATCACAGAAGCACTCAGGCACCCCGTCGCCTGCCCCGGACTAGCACAGACGACCCCCACCCCCCGCGGCCACAGGAGGGCAGCAGGGAGGAGGCAGAGCTTCCGAGAGTCCTTTTCAAAACAGATGAACCCTCCTGGCAGCCACGGGGCGGGCAAGGCTCACAGCTGAGCTGCCCCTCTTTGAAGCCCCTTCCCATCAGACCCCCAAGCCCACATCCCAGAGCCGCTCACCCCATGGCAACTCTAACAAACCGGGAGCCCCTGTGGCTCGGCGACCCCCCACCCTCCCATGAACCCCTAGAAAACCTCCACAGCAGTGCTGGGCCGGGGCCTTGGGGTCGCCTGCGGGACGAACCTCGTTTCAGTCTCTCCATCGCGCTCTTGCTGCCCGCGTACGTGGGCCGGATCTCTTTCCCCAGCTCTTCGATGATGGCCAGCAGCTCAGCATATTTGCTCTGGGGCACCTGGCTGTTCCCTGTTCCCTAGAATCAGAAAGAAGGTTCAGATGGACGGAAACCCACCTGACTCCGACACCAGTCAGGGCCACCATGTGCCTGCGGCAGCAAGGACAAGACGTGCAGGGAGGGCGGCGGGCCGAGCGCTGTCCCCGCTGAGGGACACCCACAGAGCAGGGAGGTGGCCCGACTGGCCTCACACTCCAGGAACCCACCCGGCAGCTTCCAGAAAGCTCCCTGCTTCTCCACGGCCTGTCTCCTCAGCAAAGGCTTCACTAAGAATGTCCTAGGGCCCAGGGGGACGAGCAAGTACAACCCAGGGGCTGAGGGTGCAGAGCAAGTGGGCGAGACGGAGGCCACGCCTGGGGTGGGCAAGACTAGAAAAGTCACCCAAGGCCATCTGGACGGAGCCCATCTTCCCCCACTGGCAGGGCTCCCCCCACAGAAACCCTTTTGTCCAGACACCTCAACAGCCCCAAGCAGCACCCAGACCACAGACCAGAGGCCGGGTTCCCCATGGGCCTCTCCCTCCTCCATCTCCACCATCTCCTCCTCCTCCTCCTCCATCTCCATCTCCTCCATCTCCTCCTCCTCCATCTCCTCCATCTCCATCTCCTCCTCCTCCTCCATCTCCTCCACCTCCATCTCCTCCTCCTCCTCCATCTCCTCCTCCTCCATCTCCTCCATCTCCTCCATCTCCATCTCCTCCTCCGGCTGGCAGGGCCATGCTCCCTCTGAAGGCTCTAGGCCAGCCGTGAATAAAACTAAAAAAAAAAAAAAACCAAACCCTTTTTTTTAATGATGTTTACTTTGAATTTATATTAGTTCACACAAACACTCCATCCATGCTTTTGTTCCGGCCCTCCGGTCCAGTTTAAGAACCCATTGTGGCCCTCGAGTCAAAAAGTTTGCCCACCCCTGGCCCAGGGGGACGAGCAAGTACAACCCAGGGGCTGAGGGTACAGAGCGAGTGGGTGAGACGGAGGCCATGCCTGGGGTGGGCAGGACTAGAAAAGTCACCCAAGGCCATCTGGACAGAGCCCATCTTCCCCCACTGGTAAGGCTCCCCCTACAGAAACCCTTTTGTCCAGACACCTCAACAGCCCCAAGCAGCACCCAGACCACAGACCAGAGGCCGGGTTCCCCATGGGCCTCTCTCTCTTCCATCTCTATCTCCTCCTCCTCCTCCATCTCCTCCTCCTGTTCCATCTCCATCTCACCCTCCTCCATCTCTTGCTCCTCCTCCTCCTGCTCCATCTCCTATCCTCCTCCACTTCCACCTCCTCCTCCCCAGTGGCACCAGGACCGGCCTTCCCTCCTGGAGGCCCTCGCCTGCTCCTCCCTCCTCTCTTCCATCTCTATCTCCTCCTCCTCCTCCATCTCCTCCTCCTGCTCCATCTCCTCCTCCTCCATCTCCTCCTCCTCCTCCCCAGTGGCACCAGGACCGCCTTCCCTCCTGGAGGCCCTCGCCTGCTCCTCCCTCCTTCTCTGCTGCCTCTGCTGCTTAGTCTCGAGGTCCTTCCTCTTCTCCTGGTCCAGGTCCTCAGCCTCCTGCCGGCGCCTCCTTGTGGCCCCGCACTCCTCCTTCCGCTGCTCCCGCCACCGCCTCATGGCCAGGGCGTTGCGCTGCCTCTCCAGGCTGCGCTTCAGCCCATCCTCCCGCCGCCGCCGCTTCTTCAGGCGGTCCCTTTCCCGGGCCCGGGCCCGCTTCTCCTCCTGGGACAGGATGGGCTGGCGGGGCATGGCCAGGGAGCCACCACCTCACCCCCAAGGACAGTGTCCGTGACGACCTCAGAATGTGGTGAGTTCCGGCCACGAGAGAGAACCTTGCAGCTGGCAACCGTGGGTCCCTCCACAGGCCGCGTCTCCCTGGCAGGTGCCACGGAGGCTGAAGTGGCTGCCTCCACTATGCTCCGACCACCCCAGGGACCCCCACTTGGCAGTGAGAAAACTAGGTCTCAGCGAGATTGCCAGGTGGGGTCCTGTTTTCAGAAGTGGCAGAACCAGAGCCCGGCCGGCATGGCTCAGTGGTTGAGCATCGACCCATGAACCAGGTCCGGGTTCAATTCCAGGTCAGGGCACATGCCCGGGTTGCGGGCTTGATCCCCAGTTATGGGGCGTGCAGGAGGCAGCCAATCAATGATTCTCTCTCATCATTGATGTTTCTCTCTCTCCTTCTCCCTTCCTCTCTGAAATCAATAAAATTATATATGTTTTTAAACAGAAGTGGCAGAACCAGGTGTAAACCCAAGTAGCCTCGCTCAGGGGCCACCAGCTCCTCACCACATGCATCTGGACTCCTCTTTGCTGGGGCTGCGACCTTGTGGGGGGGAGTGGGAACCGGACCCCGCCCCTCTGTTCCGGGTCAGACCCAGAGTCAGGTCAGTTCTTCTTCCCCAGGCATCAGGCACAAGACCCACCAGGGACATACAAGGGGTGGTGGCCCCCCCAACAGAACCGCAGCCCCCAAGGCTTCCATCTTTCCCTGAGCTCCCCATCGCCCATCCCAGCTCAGTGTCCCCATGAAACACCCTGCCACCCTCTGAGATGCCTCAGGCCCTGAACGTGAGTCCAGCCGGGTCTGTGACCTGAGGAAGCTCGGATCACTTCCACCCATCATTTCTACTCCTTCGTGTCTCTCCCACCGAGTCCCCGGCCCCTCCCGCTGCGCATCACCCCCGCCGCCATACCTGCGTGTAGCCTAGAGATGGTGGTCCGTAGTCACTCAGCAGCTGGCGGTACTGGGAGGACGTCGCCATGCTGGTGGAAGGCGGGTGGACGCTCCCAGCTAGGGGGAGGAGAGAGCAATCAGGAATCCCGTAGCCGTGACCAGCCGTCCCCGAGGCGAGGATTCGGGGCCTGCCACAGCCCCCCTGCCCGGGACCCATGCCATCAACAGTGGCCTATCATCTCCGCAGGACAGAGAACCCGGCTCCTGTCCTCTAGCTTGGCCTTGGCCGACCCCTGGCCTCGACGACTGGTCGTAAAATGTAACTAGCAGGCCACCGGGCTTCGCACCCACCGCAGCAGCAGACACACTCCTGTGGTCCGAGACCTCCTTCCCATCCCTGCAGTCGGGAGTGGTGCCCACGATGACAGGTGCTGCTCCGCTCAGCCTAACCCTCGCCAGTCTCCCTGTTCCCCAGGGGCCGATCACCGAGAGCCACACCACTGCCACAACTGCCCCTGCAACCGAGGCTGGTCCCCAACCCACCCCCCACCCCCCGGGCGGCGACATCCCGCGGGCCCAAACCTCTGGGGACCACGTGGGGAGGGAGACGGGGCGGGGTTTGGATCTGAGCCCCATCCCTGGGTGCACGGGACACAAGGTCAGGAATCCGGAGTAAACCACGGCCTGTGTGTCCTCAGACAAGCCCTCACCCTCTGGGCCCGTCACCCTCTCCCCAAAGAGGGGGCAGGACTCTTGAGAGTCCGAGTCTACGCCCAGATGACTTGCACCCAAAGAAGGGACGGGTGGCCCCACTCATGGATTGCAATTCTCAAAGACACTGTCCCTTGGCAGCCGGGGACCACGTGGGGCCAGGGCCCGGCGCAGGAGGGCGTCTCCTGATCGGGGTGGACCGGAGGCGGGGGATTCCCCGGCTCCCGCTCAGGAGCCGGAAGCATGCAGACCTGTAATGGCGTCCGAGTGGCCATTAGCGGGGAAAGGATGTCCTGTGGAATTACAAACAGCGGTAACCATGGAGAATTTACCTAGCCCTCCTCGGCAGCTGCCCGCCCGCCTCCACGCCCGGCCAAGGAACAGCTCCCCCCGGCCTGCCGCCTGCAGAGCCAAACCAGCTCTCTCACACGCAACACAGCGGGCTCTGCAGACTTGGCCCCGGGGAGGGACAGCTGGTGCCAGGCTGGCCAAAGCGACCAGCTGCTCATCTAGTGTGGGCAAGGGGAGGGGCAGGGAGGGGGAAGTTCAGGAGCTCGAGAACCCGGGAGCTCCTGGCTGGAGAGAGAGAAACAGGCCAGAGAGGGTGGGCGCTGCCCCAGGCCACACAGCACAGGGGAGGCTGACCTCAACGCCTGTCCCTCTGTCCTGGAGCGAGGGACAGCTCTATCCATTCACGCTCAGGCCTGCCCTGGGTTTACCCACCGGGAGCCTAGGATTATGCTCAAGGATGGGACACTGGGCTGCCAGCGTGGCTCAGGGGTTGAGCATTGACCCATGAACCAGGAGGTCATGGTTCGATCCCCAGTGTAGGGCGTGCAGGAGGCAGCCGATCGATGATTCTCTCTCATCATTGATGTTTCTCTCTGTCGCTCTCCCTTCCTCTCTCTAAAATCAGTAAAAAGGTTTTTTTTAAGGCATGGGATGCTCAGTCAGGACACTTGGATACGGCCACTCCAAGAGGGCATCTGGGCACACCACGGGGCAGCTCTGAGCCTCTAAAGCGGGAGGAACACGCGCTGGGGGAATGTGCTGCCCTTCATGGGGGCTGAGACCTCCACCCGGGCACAGGGTTTGGGGCAGGATGGCTGCCCTGAGCTCCCCTCGCCCTATCAGCCAAACCCCGATTTCCTGCACTTTCTGATGTGGGCACTGAGTGTGGTCTGGTGAGCTCAGGCTTTGCAGCCCCAGAACTGGACCCTAAGCCCGACCACTACAGGTTGTGACACCTCCCAGGATGCTCAGGGTGAGGCTGGGGCTGGCGTGGATCATCCCAGGGCACCTCACGGCATCTGGGAGATGCCAGCTCCCTGGCAGAGGTGGGCTGGCAGCCCCAGGCATCCTCCTGGTCTTCTCTCCGACAGGCCAGGGCCTGGCCGAGGAGCCAGTCCAGCTGTGCCACACCTGGCTGTGTGACCGCAGACAAGCCCCTGCCCCCTCCGGGCCTCGGTTTCTCCACCTGTTTGAGGCAATGGTCTAAGGGCTCTAGGTTGGGTGTTGGGGGCTAAGGGAGGAGGGAGGAGAAATTGCTCGGTTTGGGTTGGGGGGAGGGGAGTCAGGCAGTAGCTCAGGGCAGGTGACCCCCACTGGGTGCCAGCGCATCCCTTACTCTGTGTTGAAGGGGAGGGGGGTTGTCTGTGGCCCTGGAGTTCCACTCAGGCCCACTGCTTCCTGCAGACCCCCAGGGTCGGGCTGCACGAGGCCAGGGAGAAAAGCCGGCTGGGTGTGCGCGCTGCGTCTCGGAGCCGCAGACAATGCGCGCAGTGTGCGGGGACCAGGGAGGCCGAGCCGGGGAGGGACCCCGAGGCCAGCAGCTC